CTTCTTCTTCTTCTTCTTCTTCTTCTTCTTCTTCTTCTTCTTCTTCTTCTTCTTCTTCTTCTTCTTCTTCTTCTTCTTCTTCTTCTTCTTCTTCTTCTTCTTTTCCAATGCTATAATATCTTGTTTGAGATGCAGTGACCAGAACTGTACACAGTATTCCAAATGAGGCCACACCATAGATTTATACAGGGCCTTATTGTACCAGCTGATTTGTTTTCAGTTCCCTTCCTAATAATCCCCAGCATAGCATTTGCCTTTTTTATTGCAGTTGCACACTGAGTCGACATTTTCAGTGAGTTATCTACCATGACTCCAAGGTCTCTCTCCTGGTTAGTTACCACCAGTTCATACCCCATCTACATGTATTTATAGTTGGGATTTTTGGCTCCAGTGTACATTACTTTACACTTGCACACGTTGAACTTTATTTGCCATGTTGATGCCCACTCGTCCATCCTCAACAGGTCCCTCTGGAGTGCCTCACAATCTTCCCTGTTTTTCACCATCCTGAACAACTTGGTGTCATCTGCAAACTTAGCCACTTCACTGCTTACTCCCAACTCCAAATCATTAATAAACAAGCTAAAAAGCACTGGACCTAGTGTTGCCCAGCAAGGAGCTTTGTGCACTCTTATGGACATAAATGCACTGTGTATAAAATGTGCAAAAGGGACTCTGATGTAAGGTGACCAGATTGTGATGCCAGACATGCGCCAGCAGTACCTTGAGACGATGTTCCTGTGGTTCTCAAGGTTGCCCCGTTCCCAGATGTATCCCTACACACATGAAGCACTCCAAAATAGCCATCTGCAATTGCAGTTTAAATCGTGGACTCCCGATGCCATTAGGGGAGTCCTCCTTAATCACGCAGACAGGCAACTTCCCCCCCACCACCACCACCACCTTCTCCGCAGGGAAGGCACAAAAGACTTGCCTTTCACTTGACAAAGGACTTGGCCTTAATCCTCTCAAGGAAACGGTACCTGGCTGAGGAAATGGACTTCAATAACAACAGGCGCTAGCCGATGAGTCATCCTTCCCCTCGAGGTGTCTCAACCACAGACTTAGAGTTTAATATTGACCAACCCTTTAAGCCCCCCATCCCCATTGCGGACGTGACTTTTTGGAATGGATCACAAGGGGTTGTCTCAAGGGAGGTGGCCAGCAAAGCCCTCCCCCCAGAGCCCCCATACAAAAGTGGGCACCCAGCAATGTGCTCTCTCTCTCTCTTTTGCCCTCTCTAAACCCCTCTCTTGCTCTCTAAACTTATCCTGACTCTAAGACTTTTGGACTGCAGCCAAAGTCTCCACGTGTTTCTGGCCGGTTCAGAACACGATCCCTATTTCCTGTTAGTCTCCCCTATTTTTCCATTTGGATACATCATCACACCAGACAGGTAACTATTGCCCCCCAACGATATCCTGCTCATGCGAATGTCTCTATTCTCTATCTAATTTTCTTAGAAGCTGTGTAACTGTGTGCTTGTGTTTTGTTTGCTTGTAAAGAATCTACAGTAAAGGAATCATTTTATAATGAAACTAGCCTCCGTGTCTATTTCTGGTGCTTCTGGAAGAAGCGGGACCCCTGTATATAATGGTGTTTGTTTCCTTATTGCCTATTGCTATTTTGTAATATCTCATATTCCTCAATATTGATAATAACTCAGAGCAATCAGGCTAACACTAGTACCGAGCCCTGTGGTACCCCATTGCTTACCACCCTCCACTGTGAAAACTACCCATTTATACTCAGTTTGTTTCCTGATAATTAACCAGTTTTTAATCCACAAGAGGACTCTTGTCCCATGACTGCTGAGTTTACTCAGGAGCCTCTGATGAGGAACTTTATCAAAAGTTTTCTGAAGTCCAGGTAAACAACATCTACTGAGTCATCCTTGTCCAGGCTTGTTTACCCCCTCAAAGAACTCTAAAAGGTTAGTGAGACAAGATCTTCCTTTACAGATTCCATGCTGATTCTTTTGTTCATCAATGTGCTTACTAATTCTATCTTTAATAACGGATTCCACAAACTTACCCAGTATCGATGTTAGACTGACCAGCCTGTAATTTTCTGGATCTCCTCTGGAACCCTTTTTAAAGATGGGGGTTACATTAGCTTCCTTCTAGTCCTGCAGAGCCATTACAAGGGGTCTGCAAAATCATATGCACGCTAAGCATTGTCATTTTGATCTTGTGATTTTCTCAATCAGCACATACTAGTAGTACAATTATCATCATGTAGTAGCATCTGCAAAAAATTTTGATATTAAAAAGGCTTTCTTATACTCAAAAAGGTTGGGAACCACTGCCTTGGACGATAGCAAGAGATTTCACTTTCCTGTTACCACACCTGTTTTCATTGGTTTCTTTTGGCTTTTTGTCTTAACAGAGCTCACAACAAGGACATCAAAGAAGCCAGTAAGGATCAAATGACACTCCTACAGCAGCAGCAAGTCATGGAAAGCTTAGTCCTGCAGACCCCCACGCAAGTCCTCTTTCAGCAGTCGAGACATCACCCCATGACACAGCACTCAGCACTCCTCTCGCAGTTCCACTCTCCAATACAGGATCTGTGCTCTGCTTACCGAGACTCTTTACAAGCTCCACGACCTAGTGACCTTGCTTTGGGGAATGCCAGTGATTCACTGTGCTCCTTCTCCACCTTATCCAGCCAGTTTTCAGCCTGTTGCGCAAACCGTATCAATTCAAGGGCCTGTTACTATGCAGGTTGCCATTTCCACAGAGCCTAGGCACTGCCTCTCTCTGACATATGGCAGCAGTTCAGCAAGCATCATTCATATGCAGCCGGTCCTGACATATGGCAGCAGTTACTTCAGCAAGCATCATTCATATGCAGCCGGTTGTTTTGATGGCTGAAAGGTAGCAAGGGGAATTCGTCTTCCATACCACTGAGGTTCTGCTTCCCATGCGCACACCAGGTGCACCTACCACATAACGAGAGTTCCATCCTAAAACTGCTTTGCTGGAGCTGAACCAGCCTATCAGCAAAGCTGGGTTTTGCTTTTAAAGTTCAAAATGTGGATGCCACTCCTGCAAGAATTAACTTGGCAGGAGCAATCCTTATGAAAAGAAGTGCAACACTATACCTCACTACTGTTTCAACATGGCTTCATTAGATATTGGTGGATGGATGGATAACATAATTTTCCTTTTATGATCCTTCCATACAAGAGGCTTCTATGTACTAGGAAGAACTCTTGAGTTATACAATGGTTCTTTTGGATAAGGAAACATGGGGAAATTTCTGATTATCATTCAGTGTTCTTGTTATAAGATGGTGGCAGTTCTTAACACTGGAACCTGTTGTAGATACCTCACAAATTTTTTTCAGTCTGTGAAATTTTCATGAAGAATGTTCCTTCCCTTTCTTTGACCAGATGTTTTACAGATTGAGATGTTAAAGCGTAACATAAATATGGAGAATTGTCAGCCATTTTTGGCCTTAACTTTTCTCTTGATGTGGCATTAGTAGACAAAAACCCAACTTAGTCACATGTTTATAGTTCGGTTTTTTTCTTTAAAATGCAATCTTAAATTACCTCTGAATATTTAAGATGCTGCTTGCTTTAAGTAACAAAAGTATCATTTGTCTAAGGAACTTGGTTTACAATTTATATCAGGGATCAATGTTTACTTGAAAATAAGTCCTTGGGGAAAAGTGATGTATATTGAGGAGATTGCTAAAAGGCAGCATAGTATGGTTAATCTTGTAATCTGAGTTAGTAATGGTAAAGATTGGGCACAAATGTATGTTGAAGAGAACCTTTTAAGTTTCATAGGCAAAAGTGTCGATAAGGTAAAAACTGGTTGGACTTAACCCCCGTTTGCAGTCCTTGAACCACTAACTCTGTATTAATTCCATAGACATCTAGTAAATCTGGGCTGAGGCTGTAGACTGTGGCTTAGTTAAAGTACCACCATTCATAGCAGATCTACTGCTAAAGCTTGAAAGACTTGGTCAACTCAGAGAGAGAGACCTCCTACTGTTATTGCCCAAAGTGTGATTTCTCCTGTGCTTTCTGTTCTAAACACACTAGATGGGCATTAGGATGGAACTGCCCATTACAAGGGTAGCAAAGGGTTCCCCGCATTGTTTGTTCCTTGTAAGACAGATGTGGGCGGGGGGGGGGACTGGATGATCATCAGGTGAGAAGAGGTCTGCTTAACACTTGCTAAACCAGTTTTTCTCAGCAGATGCCTACCAGGGCTTTCTTAATTTCTCCCTACTCTGAAGCAAGCTGGACTTCAAAACTGGAATTGAGCCTGGCTGGGGGGGAGAACAGCATTTGCAGAGTAAAGTCAGTGAACATATGAAGGGTCAAGTTTCTCTGCAAATGGCCCCCTCCACCTGAACATTTGCTTTACCTCCACAAATGCAGATGTGAGAGTATTCTTGTGTCACACTGACATGTCATTCTGCCCTAAATCCTGTGGGTTCACTGGAGCGTAGTTCCTCATTGGATCATGGCCTTGACAATTTTGGTGTGATTAAGCTTCACCCTGTGTCACAAAACATTTGAACATGTCTGCCAGAGTGTGACATGCTCACTTGATATGCAGCTATTATTCTGCAGATCCTGAAAGCCAGTATTGTTTGTCATTGAGGTTCTCAGAACTGCCGACCAGACTATGTGCAATATACGTTTATTCTGTCTAGTATCCCATGAGTGTAGTGATAGGATATGGGCTGTTTTGCTTTAATTTATATATATATGATGGAGGAATGAGTTGGTTTTTAAGATGAGGGAAAACTATTCCCTGTTCGGATGAAGCTTGCTATTCAGGGATTGACAAGATTCCTAAAATATGTTTCAGTCCAGGCATGATACACCTTAAAATAACAAAACATGTAACAAGATAGAGTTGGGTTTTTTATCTTTTAATGAAATCTTTGTTAAAAAATAGAGTAGTATCTGGAGATTTGTGTCTTTGAAGATTGTGGGGGGGTTTGTATTTATATGTAACTATTTCTACAAGATCTTGTGTGTTTAAGCAGACTTTTAACCACGTGATTGTGTAAAATATCACCTGGGAAGCTCTGGCTGAGGAGGCCCATATGTTCTTATTAAATCCTACTGAGGAGGCTTTTTGTGTTTCAATTCTGGTCACCTTTCCATCTTAGGGATGGTTATTCAATAAAAAGCACAAAATGCTAATATAATAGGCTTGTTGAATTTCTTTGTCTGCTCCCAAGAGAGAAAGGATCGGCACACATTTGTTCACACCCACAAAAAATAAATGTTTCTATCAGGGCACTCATAGCTTTCTTAGGGATTTTAGTATTATGCCTCTTCAAAATTCAAAAGTATTTGCAGGTGCACAGAACCCAAGGTGAGCTTTACTATTGCTGAGATACAATGTACACCTAAAAACATTGATGGCATGAAGTATTTCGGCATCAAGGAAGCCTGTAATGGGCCGTCCGGCCAAGCGGTGGCAGTGCTGCGCTGCAACTTGAAGCAGTCCGGAGAAAGCTGACGGCTTGCATGCCGAGGGTTGGAACACGTCTGACCTTACAGCTGAACAAAACTCCCCGTCGGCTGCGGTGTGATTTAAAGATTATATGTTGTCCTCCCTTACCCCTTGAATCATTGTTAGTCCCGTGTGTATTTGAGTAACTGTAAATCGCTCAGAGCCAGCAAGCTCTGCAGGATTGAGCGATTAATAAATTTAAAGATTATTATTATTTATTTTATTTTGAAGTCCGCTTTCTCCCCACTGCTAGAAGTTAAATCATTTTCACAATCTGAATCTAAACATGTTAGTTCAGATGTAAAATTGATCTGATTACATTGAGTTTTGCTCCCAGCTTGGATCCTGCATAGCGTTTCCATGAGCGGAAGGATTTCTGCATTGTGAGCTGTTCACTGGAACACATCAATCAATCAATGTTTATTTACGGTCCAAGACCAATGATCAATGAAATACATATTCATTAGGTACAAACAAATTTGCTTTCAGCTTAAAGATATTTAGACATACAACCTTAAAATCATTCAAAGTTTAAAAATCCATTGTATAAAAATTATAAAATATCTACGACTGAACTAATTATGAGTTATGTGGAAGGTAGATAAAGGTTATGCTTGATCTGCTTTGTTGTGGAATTTTACCAGATGTGCACAGAATTTAGCAGATTGTCAGATTTGCTGATTTTCCTCTTATCAAAAGTCTCTCAAGATTGGCACTATTTGCATCAACTGCTGGTCTATCTAAGGGGGGTGATAAGCTTGTCCCTGTAAGCTTGATGAAAAGTACAGCAGAAGAACATGTGGAGCATCGATTCCCCTTCTCCCATAGAACATGGGCAGCACCTGTCTTCATATGATATCTTTCTATATTTCCTCACTAGGGCCTTAGAGGGAATAGCCTCACAAAGAGCCAAGGTAAAAGCTCTTCTGTAGGATGGCACATCCATATAAGTCAGGTATTTAGCCATATTCGTTACATATCTCGAGTCATTGTGGGCCAGGAAGGAGCTCAATTTTAATCCCACTGGAACACATGCTCAGGTTTGGTTGCTAAGTGATAGAGCAAGATTGAGCCCCAGCACATGGCTTTTTTGAAATGAGACAGGGCAGCATTTCAAAATACTCCAGTTTTTCTTAGGGGGGGAGGGGGACTTGACAAACAGAATATTGTAGCCTGATCTTTCTTAGGAGTAAGCTCTTCTGCTCCCTTGCAATATGCAATTTGAATAATTCTGGTCATGTAATACGTAGGTAGGTTTGTGAGCACAATTCTGGTTCCTGACAGTGATCAACACACTGAAAAGACTCAGTCACAGGACATCCAGATGTTACTTTTCCAGGAACTTGGAAGTTCATACAACGTACTGGAGACTAGTATCACACCTAATCATGTTCCCTGTTTGCAATACTGTACGGTGAAAATTGGAGAGTGGAGCCAATGATACAGTACAGTCATATTTAAAGGCTCTTGCCTTCTGTAGGAAAAAGATCCCACCATTTGCATCTTTCCCCATGCTATGGTTGGTTTGGCTGTACAAAAGCAGCATTTGATGTCAAATGACATCCGTAGCAAGTTGTATATATGAAAAGAGTTGTTCCACAAATACAAGATCTGATGGTCTAAACTCTAAATCATGTATTAGATTAAAGAAAACAAGGCATGCCTTTAGGGAATGGGGGCTGTAACAGACATTAAATGGTTAATGCTTTAATCTGGTCTGAGAACCCTGAGTGTGAGGGGATTAAAATGGAATTGTGCAGTTGAGAGTGGAGTGAGATCACTGAAGGAGAGAGCTAAGCAGAGTGAAAGTATCAAGGAGGATCCTGAATTAGGGAAGTGGGACAAGTAGCCCTTCCCTGAGGGAAATAGCTCTTAGTAAAGGGGGCTGACTCCTATCAAGTGGTTAATGAGGAAAATTGGAACTGGTGTGAATGTTTCTGCCTTCACAAACTTAAGCACTTTTGAGATGAAAAGGCTTATGCTTGTTTAAACAGCAACTGCCAAGAGATCTCTCTCCAGTTTTAAAGACCTGACTGTATAACTAGTGACTTGATTGTGACAACCTATCTGTTGTTTATACAAAGTTACTTACCTCATTCCTGTTGCCTGTTCACCTTCTAAGTCCTAAACCTAATACCTATCTGACCATTTCCCCTCAAAGGTGAAATAAAACAGTTTATTAGTTTTGAATTACCATCAAAAGAAGAATTTTAGTTGTCCCTCAGTTCCCTAGGCTGGGTCAGCATATATATACATTTAGACAACCAGGTGGGACAGACAGAAAAACAAAAAAGAAAGAAAAGGCGCTGCTCAGCCAAGAAAAAGATAAAGAGAAGCAGTGAACACCACAGAGGCCAATAACAACAGATATTCTTGAATATATTGCATGCCACAACTGTAGCAGTTCTGTTTTAGATGGTATCAAATAAACTGGAGTGCACCTGTGTGGTGTACCTTAATTCTAGATGCATAGCCAAGTGCTAGTCTGTAGCAGCAAAATAAAACACGAGTCCAGTGGCACCTTACAGACTAACAGCATTTATTCTGTTATAAGCTTTTGTTAGTCAGACCTGACTACATCAGATGGATGTATGCTTCAATGCATCCGATGGGAAGTAAGTTCTGTCTCATGAAAACTTATGACAGAATAAATGCAGTTAGTAAGGTGCCCCTGTACTCCTGTTTTGTAATGTTCCTTGTACCATGAGTGTTGTGTACTTTGTTTTCATAATGTGTGCACTGTGTAAGAACCATGATTGACCTACAATATCCACATGTCGAGAGGGATGGAGGAGTGTAGCACAGTCTCATCCTGCATTCTGGAGTTGCTGATTTGAAATTATGTTGTGCAGCTCCTTCACACTGGGTTTCCCCAAAAATAATGTCCTAAGTTTTCCTGAGCACTATTTGAATGGCTAAGGCTTCCAGCAAGGAGGTACACAGGTAAATAAACAGGTGTAGCTGAAGATGGGAAATGAGTTGATTCTCCCTCTCATTTACTTACAAGAAAGTTACAGAAATAGACAAGTAGTCTACTTTTCATGGTCCTTGTATTTCTCTGATATGTAAACTAAGCCTATTACTCATTAAAATGTATTTTATTTTTAGGAAAAATGAAATAGACAAGGAACAGGTTACTTATATCACACTTTATTCCTCATTTTCCGTTATGGCTAAGGACTTGGGTATTATTCCTTCCCTGTCATCTTTTCATGCCACCCTCTTGCTGATTCTCTTGAAGGTTACACCAGCAACTGTAGAAGTCTGCAACAAAGTAAACAAATTATTTTTAATAAGGTCAGAGTATTTCGAATCTAGCTGTTCTACTGCAGACCAACATGGCTACATTCTGAAACTATATTTAATATTAATATCTGTATATTATATTATTGTATGTGTTTGTTTGGTGGGGCAGCGCACGGCGCATACAGTAGCCATATGGCTCCTTGGGTGGATGATAATGGCCACCGTGGCTCTCCAGGAGTCACAGAATGAGTCTCACTGCTATATACATTTAAGGAAGAATAAAAAGTTAAAATGAGTTCCAGGGAAATCCATAAACTTGGCTTGGATTCTTACATGTGCCTCTGACATTCACATGAAAGCAGAGGGACCTGTGAGTTAATCAAAACAAAGTAGTTGCAGCTGATACATCGTGAATTTCCTTGTTCATGGAAACAGGTCCCAAGCATGGGGAGAGATGGGTAGTTTAATCAGATCCTGGACTCAAGGTCTGGTTCCCACCTCTAAGTGGGGCCTGGAGATCTTCTGGAATTACAACTGATCTTCAGATGACAAAGATCAATTCCTCTGGAGAAAACGGCCACTTTGGAGAGTGGACTCTGACATTATACCCTGCTAAGGTCCCTCCCCTTTCTAAACCCTCCCCTTCCCAGGCTCCACCCACAAATCTCCAGGAATTTCCCAACTCAGAGTTGGCAACCCTAGGTCAAGGAGCCCCCTAGCCTAGGCTGCAAGAATACTGCCTAATATATCAAGATGGGTAGCTGTGTTTGTCTGTAGCAGTAGAAAAGAGTAAGAATCCAGTAGCACCTAAAGACGGACAACATTTAGGGTATGAGGTGACTCATGAAGAAGTGAGCAGTGACTCACAAAAGTTTATACCCTACCACAGATTTTGTTCGTCTTTAAGGTGCTGCTGGACTCTTGCTCTTTTCTTCTGCTGCCTAATATGTTGTACTTATGTTATTTCAGAAATAAATGTTTTTCTTTCATGATGCATGAGTCTCTAGATAGTAATCTTGGGGTGGGATTGTGCAAAAGGGGAGGGGGGTTACAAGCTTATAACAGGCCCAGAAAACACCGTGCTCTTGGGCCTTGCATTTAAAGTTAAACTTCATGATGATACCAACCCTGAGATAACTGTTCTCAAATATTAATTGTATGCACAAAGTATTGAGTTGCAAAGAAAGAGCATACCCAATCATGCTCTCAAGTTTTAGCATCCCCATTAATAGCTATTTTTGTTTGGTTTTCAAATGGACCAGAGTTTATTAACTTTCCTCTTTTCTTCATGCTGATGCTGAAGGTACTACTGGATGTTAAACAAACTTAACCCTTCAAATCACCCTCCTTTTTACTAGTTGGCTTGGCATGATGCAGATAATCTCTCAAGGAAGATTTGCAGGGATTTACCTCTATTAGTTTGCCCCCAACAATCTCTGCAGTGTGATGATAGTTGGGGAAGTCTGCAACCACTTTCCCACCTTCCAATTTAACCGTTGCCTGTAACAGATAAGCATATATTAGTTGTCATATTGGTAGAAGAAAATTAGGGCTAATGTCTAGACAAAACTATTATCGTGCCTCAACAATCTTGTGTAGGTAAACAGATATTTCACTTACAATTGAAAAAGTCAGAAAATATGGAAAACTTAATTGCACCCCCTCATACTCCATACTGGATTCCTTATAAATACCAGATTTTGCCTTGGAACCGATTTGTTGGTTTGGGATGAATTTCAGTTGTTATAGCTTGATATTACTCACAGAGTGTTCCCCCCCCCAAGTTTTATTTTCAGTTTTCTAAATACATACAAAGTATATACAGACAAATCTATATCCTTTTGAGTCTATAACATCTACTGATTATTTATCCATATATATAAACGCTTTCACCTTTCAACCAAAAAGTTTTCATCTTGTCCTTGAAGCATGATGCTTAATTTATCAAGTTCTGCTGTCTCTAATAATTTATACACTAATTCCTCTCTTGAAGGAAGGGACTCCTGACCCGGAGCTTTTTTCTTTCGTTCAGAATCTTTTTATACTTTTCCTCCAGTGTTTTAAGTGTTTTTCCTCAAATGTAGTTTCCAATCTTATCTTTCTGTTGATCTTCCTGCTTATACAGATTTTATAGAATTTTTCTGTTATTTCCTTCATTTCCTGTAAAACATACTTAATTCTCCTTTTTCATTTCTTAAAGATCTTATTATATGCTTTTCTCTTTCCTTTCTAAGTTTATATGCAAGCCATCTAGATGGTTTATTGGCATTTTCAATGTAATTTAACCTGACATATTCAATACTTTTTGCTATTTCTTGATTCAGCAATAGATTCAATTCATGGTGCAATATTCTTAACCTATCTTTTCCATCTTTAGAATCTGAATGTTTAAGTTTATCTTCTTCTTTCCTAATTGATGTAACTAATCTTTCATATCTTTCTTGTTCTCTTTTTTTCCTCCATGACTCCTGACTGATACACCAACCTCTGATAAAAGCCTTAAATGTATCCCAGATTGTTGTGATAGATATCTCCGGTTGCATATTCCTTTTAAATAATTCCTGAATCTCCACTTTTGTGTCTTTAATAAACTTCCGATCTCTTAAAAGACCAAGATTCATTCTCCATTTCATTTTCTTTCATGTCTCTCTAAGGAGTATTCTTACTGGGTTGTGATCTGCAAATGTTCTAGATAGTATGTCCGCTTCCACTGGCTGACATCCAAATCATGTCTATCCTCGACCAGGCCTTGTGTCTAGCCGAGTAATAGGTGTAATCTTTTGGACAGGCACCTGTTTACTTGACACATGTCTTCCCTGGCTTCCTTACTGGCGTGGTGGGAGGGTAACTGGCTGGGTCCAGGAGGTTAATATTTCATTAATGGAAGGGTTGATTCTGGCCTCTAGTCACTCCCAATCAAACACTCCTTGGCCCCAGTTGATTGGCTACTGATCAACAGATGTTGCCATCTCCCTTTCTGGGCCATGGTACTTGAAGCAGGCAGTGGTAGCTCAATTCCAGATTTTCTTGCATGGAGCAAATTATTTGGATCCATTGTGATCCGACTTCTATCTTAGTTTTTGTATTGAAACTATCTGGGTCACTCCAGTAGACAATATACCCTGGGAGATATAGGAGGAGTCTGATCCTTTTAATTCTTCTGGATTTCTCAGCATCTTTTGATACCATCAACCATGGTATTCTTTTGGACTGCCTGTCTGAGGTGGGGACTGGAATCACCATGCTCAACTGTTTCTGCTCCTACCTGTTAGGTAGATTCCAGAAAGAGCTTGGGGAATTCTGCTCCATATCATGGCTCTATGGATGTTGCAAGTTTCTATGCTTTCCCCATGCATTAACATCTGTATGAAATCACTGGGAGAGGTAATTCAGAGACTGAAGTAAAGTGCCATCAGTATGCTGATGACATCCACTTCTACTGGAACAGAATAGTTATTTTAGACAAATTACTCTGGAAATAGAATTTGATACAGCTAAGCTGGTGGTATGTGTGGCAAAAGGTATGCACAAGCAGAAACCAAGTCTGAGATCCAAAGAGGTATTAAACTAGTTCCCAAGCAGTCCTTGTGTTTCTTGGACAGAAACCCCTTTCCCAGTGCCATACATGAAAGTGCTTTATTAACATGGAGACCAGAGGGGAAGTGTAGACTTTGTGATATGGCAAGGGGGGAGAGTTGATATTCAAAGAAAAATGTTTAAAATTCTACTGGATACACCCCCTGCCCAAATCCTTCAAAAAGCAATGTTCACTTACCTTAAATTTTTTGCCACCCATTGTCTCCATTTCTGATTCCTTGCCAATAACAAATGTATTAGACATAGACTTTCCTCCTGGGTAAATTTGGGACCAGGTGAATTCATCTCCATTTTGCATCACCTCTGTGATGATCTTGTAATTCCTTCCTTTTTCAATTACATCAGCAGGGAGACCTAGTACAATGGAAATACAAATTAATTTTTCACCTGTTGTTGATTCTCAGATGCCAGCAAAGTGGTTGTTGTGCTGGATACTATTCTTTACCTTCTGGAAAATGATGAATGTAAACAGAATTTTGGGGAGGGGGCAGGTCTCGTCTTGATTTCAAGTTCAAAATAAACCCTGGTTGCAAATGTGTGAGGAAGTCACTTTTCAAATGCAGGACAAGGATTATGAAAAATGTTCAGTGGGGATGAGGACAAGTTTGATGTTGTTATTGTTGATGCATGTTTATAATTTGGGGCTATTTATAATTGTAATTGACAATCGTTGATATATAGAGTCTTGTATATACAGCAGAGTCTCTTCTGAGGCTCCTGTATCAGGGGAAGGCTCCTTATGTCAGGAGGTCAGCACCACTGCTAGCAGAATGGATTTGCAGGATCCATCCTGCAGTCTCATGTCTACAATTCAAAGCTATCTCATTACTGTACCTTGAGAAATTATCAGAGATATAACAAGATAAGAATTAATAAGAATGTGGTTTTTAAAAAATTCTGTCCTGTCCAAAGCATTCTGGTTTATTGAATTCTGAATAGTGGATTGCTTTTTGCCAAAGTATGGGCATACTTAGCAAGTTTGCATGCTCTTTCACCAGCATATGAATTTCAATTAAAAGTAACACCTTTCCCATTTTCAGGCTTTCTTTCTTGAAACTGACAGAACAATGACTGCTTATGTCCAAAACTATTCCCCAGCCAAGCAATGTTATCTAAGTAATGAAACAGGAAAATATTGTGTACACATACCAATGCGCTTCATAAAATCATCATAGTTTTCCTCACTTTCCACTTCATACTTGCCAGAAAAGGCCATGCTGAATTCAATGGCACCAAGAGAAAATCTGCACAAGAGAGCAGCTGTGTCTATGAAGAAGCTAGGCTGGGCTCAGGTGCCTTATAAACCTTTTCTTGCTCAGGTCATCCACCCAAAACACATTGCACTTCTTCATTATGCCTTCTAATGAAGGTTTATTTTTTTACAACATGAGTACAGTTTTTCTTGGATCACTAACTCTGATGTTATTGACCCCTGCAAAGAGGACTTTGATAATTCTGGCATGTCTCATTTTTAAGAAAGACCTGGGATTCCCTCCCCACCGGAAAAATATTTTGTAAGTGTTTTCTTTTTAATTAGATTTTATTCATTTCCTAAAACAAATAGAATAAAACACTTCACTTGGGGAAAAAATGTATGTTGCTTTATGATCTCAACTATTTACAGAACCAGCTTCACATTAACCTGCAGTCCCCATCCAGTGAAATAAAACAAAGGACATGAAATATTACTTTATTACTATTCCCAGTTGACAGTCATCCCATGAGGCTGCATTGCCAGTGACTGTTTTTACAACACCATCTCCCATTTACAGTAGTGTGAAAGGCCAAAGGAGCAGTTCAACAGAAAGAGATAGATATTGTTTTACTGAATGTTGTAAGCCACCCTGAGCTTGCTTGTGGGATAGGACAGGATATCAACTTAATGAACTAAATAAATATGATGCCCCAACAGCCTTGGTGGAGAAGTATCAGAGTCCCACAGCAATCACAGAATGTTAGAGTTGGAAGGGACCTTACAGGTCATCTAGTCCAACCCCCTGCACTCTGCAGGAGCGTAGCCAAAAGATAGCCCTACAACATACCCGAAAGATGGTCGTCCAGCCTCCACTTAAAAACGTCCAGTGAAGGAGCATCCACCACCTCCCGAGGCAGTCTGTTCCACTGCTCAACCACTCTTACAGTTAGGAAGTTTCTCCTGATATTTAGCCGGTGTTATGTGCACTGACTGCCACTAGGCACCAGCGGTATGTGATGAGAGCTTGGCTCCAAAAGAACAATGGGGACTAGGATCCTGAGACTCCTAGTCAGCACTTATAGGAACTGTGGCGGGAAGTTCAAACCCGCCAATGGGACCTGTGGGTGGCACCCGGGGACTGTATATAGTTGGTCGTTTGACTGTTTGTTTGTTGTTGTGTTGTGTGCCAGTAAAGTATGAGCTGCTAATCACTCAGCGTCTGTCTTCACTACGCATCGAACCCAGTACACAACAATGGTGACGAGGATGGGATCCCACTGAGCTGGCTAGGCTGCCAGGGCACCAGAGGAAGACCAGGGACCGCCGCTGCTCTATCCTATGAGCAACAAAGACAAGCAAGCCGCTTCCCCGCCACCACCGCACAGCACAATGGCAGTCGCTCCTGGATTAGTACTGATCCCTTTGTTTGACCCAACCAAGCAGCATCACTGGGATGCATGGATTGAGAGACTCAACTCCATCTTGGAGTTCTACGGAATCACCGATAATGGCAAGAAGCGGGGCCTCCTCATCAGTTCCCACTGAGCTGGCCAGGCTGCCAGGGCACCAGAGGAAGACCAGGGACCGCCGCTGC